CCGGAGCAGATGACTCTCAGGATCATTCGGAATCCGACCGGCAGGGCCACTGAAAAGACTGTCCCCACAGTCTCGGTCTTGTCGAACATCATGCTGAGCCTGAGTTGGAATAAATCGAAGAGGAGTTGTGGTGTCCCTCCTGGGTACTTGAAAATGTACGCCTTTTTGAGTGCGTTTGCGAATAGTCACCTATGTTATGCTTGAACGGGTTGAACCCACGCGAACAATCGAGCTTGTCGTTTAACACTATCCGATTCCTTTTGTTCACCCGTGAACAGAAGGACTTGGATAGTGTTAGTCGACAAGCTCGATTGTTCGTACCACCTGGAAGCCGCAGAATACCTTCCTGCCTGAGAAAGATGACATTTAATGATTTTAAGAACACCCGTGTTCGCGCTACTGTTATTCGCGCTACTGTTTTATTTTAAAGTATGGTGACAACAACGTCGGGAAAACACAAAAGAGAAGACACACAGTAAAATGGTATCGACATACACTCTAAGAAATACCTGCGCGTCTACATACCCGCAAAACACTCAAAGAGCCAATCCCTGCGATCTACGAAATCAGCTCAGCGAATGATCACGCGAAACATGCGATTAGAGAATGAAGTCTGGGCTGTGGCATTACGCAATGCGAAGCATTATGCTTGCATCGCGTAATGCCACAGCGCAGACTTCATTTTGAGGTCTAAACAGATGTTCCGCCTCATCATTCGCTGAGCTCATTTCATAGATCGCAGAGATTGGCTCTTTGAGTGTTTTGCGGGTAAATAGAAGCGCAGGCATTTCTTAAAGCGTACACTCGAATATATCAAGCCTGAACTCTTTACTGAAGATGCCATTAAATATCATGCACGCCGACGACAAACTTAGAGATATTTCCCGAATCACCCTTTGCCGCTTTCCGCAAGCATCGAAGCCAGGGGAGAATTCATTCGGTGGCTGCTGTCTTTGTCCGAATACCCCTGCCTGCTGCGTTCTTTCATTTTGGCAGCTTATCGTATTTCGAGCTGCGCAGCAGCTTTCTTCATTAATATTAAACAACGTATTGACTGCAAAACTTCTGACGTGCTACATATTATTAACTGCACGCTGTACAATATGCAATTTGTGGGGGGAAACTAAAAATTCCACGAAGGAGCGATTTTATGGCCACACGGACATTGTAAGTAAGGAAAATACACCAGTTGCTAAACACTAACTCTGACGTATACCATAGCATCAATGCGCATCTAAAAGTTACCATCGTGGAATGTACTTTAAAAAAAAGATATATAATACGTAAAAATAAAGAGTTATATTACATATCGAAATTTAGTTCGTTGGCTCCACTTAGCATGACCACCTCAAAGGGAAACCTCCGTGGGTTGTTTTAGTCTTCTTGTTGATTCAGGCAAACCTCGATCGCGTCGCGTAATGCCGGGGAAGAAAAAAAGATAAAGAATAAAAAGAAAAAGGGAAAACAAAAAAAAAGAAAGAGGAAGAAAAATTTTTTTACATAATTTTAAGTTTTTTTTTGTTTTTTTTTTTTAACGGGCCGAATTTATTTAAACTTAACGCTTCCACCGGGGAGCGATCTGTGTCTCCACGCCGCTGGCGTGTCCGAGTTGTATGGCTTCCTGCGTCTGTCTCCTCGCCGGTGCTCGGTGACTGCCGTTCCCTACGCTAATGTTTATGGTTTCTTCTGGCGATCCGCGTAGTTGTGAGTATGTACTTTTTTTCTTGGGTGGGGGTGGGCGTGGGGATAAAGGCAATGCCGCCATTTAATATATATGTTTGCGTTCCCTGTAGTCGGGAAACGAGTGTAAGGGAGGAGCGAGCAGGCGGAGTGCTGGAGAGGAGAGGAGGAAACCTCCTCCTCTCTTCAGCATTTTGTCTATTTCCTCCTCCCCGGCCAGAAAACTTTTCTTGACCTGTCACTGACTATGGACACTGCAAACACCAATTTCCTTTTTTTTTTCTAAACATATTTACGTATTGTTGCAAAGTGGCCCGCTGTGTATGGGTTTGTTTTTGGTGTCGACGTGTGTCTTCATACTTGCTTTACTCCCCCTCTTTCTCTCTCTCTTTCGATCAACGAAACATCTTACAACTTCTATTATCTTTTCACTTGAAAAAGAGCAGGCTCTGCTCGAAACGTCGAATAAAAACTTCTGCTGCTGCTCACAACTTTTTTCTACGTCTGATACTCTCTTGGTGAAGCATTGCGTATTAACACTTTGGAAAAGCAGAAGAATACTTGAGGGATGAAACAACTGCAGTACAATATTCTAAAGATGAACTTTTTTTTTGTGAAGTGGAGTGCGGAACATATGAATGATTCTATGAAACGAAAAAGTGGGTTCTTGAACGCAGAAAAAAATTGAGGAGTTTCGCCCGGAATACCCGGCGTTATCAGGGGTTGGATTATACCGAATGACGAACTAAAGGATCCTTGCGAGACGCACACAAAGAATCCTTAATTAAACAGGTCTCAACCAGATCAGCACGCTTTTAAACACACTAAATTTTCAGCGTTACAGTTACTAGTGTCAGTGAGCTCGATCATTTAAAAAACTGCCGCAAGTTCCACGGAGTAACTACAGAAGATATCAACACTACTTAGTGTGCTAAAACAATGCACACTGAGTGACTACTTTAAGATTAAGGAAAAATGAATGGCAGTCTAGATGTCTGGCAAATTTCTTGTTTGGATGTGTTGCAATTTGTACATATATTTTAAATATGTGAAATAATTATCACGTAAAAGTGTATTCTTGATCTTGTGGCAAGGCTTACCTGTAAGGTTGCAGTCCAGCTACGCAACTATAATGTTTCTTCAACTGCCTTTGGATTGCCCGTCGTCCCCGACGTAAAGCACAGAGCGATCAAGTCCTTCTGCGTGTCCATCACTGGGACCTCCACAAACTCCGTCTCTTCCAAGTATTTAAAATTTGTTACCGAAACATGTCCTGGCTCTTTTCCCAACGAAAAGAATGTCTGAAAAGTGTAAATCCTCACCTGAAATCACGTGGACTCACACTACCGAAATTCCACATGCATGTGGATGCAAGTCTGGGCTCAAGAAACTGGACTATATCAGACTATACCTACCGTGAGCAATGGCTGACGGTAGAGTTTAAAACCTCCATGGAGGTTCGTGCTTGCTACTGCAGTAGCAAGCACAAACATTTTGAGAGGCAACTACATGAGCCGCCTTTCACGCTTCTCTTCCAAGTGCCACCTGCTCTTATAACGGGGCGTGCGCCCTGGAGGCCAGTCAGAGATGGCGCGTACCGATAGAAAGTTTTGTCGCGACATCCGGAACTTGCGCAGTATAGGGAGGTTTCACGAAATGCTTTAAAGAGTTAGCGTTATATGGCTAACCAACATCAGGAACCACGTAATTAAGCACGAATTGTTTGTACAATGATGTCCCGTTTATATAGACACCTCCTTTTCCGCAGAAAATCGTCCATAATGTGAGTTGTTCATATGAACGAGACAAAAATGCATGTATTTTCCCAGTTTGTCCCCAAAAACGGTGTCCATATAAACGAACTCGTCTCTGTTACGTCACGGCGCGGTGGCGGCTCGTCGGGCGCACTTCCGGTCTGGGGCTGTGGGCGGAAATCCCCATGTGAGACGTGTATTCCTGCGTTGTTTTGAAAGGAACCAGACAAAAAGCTGCCTTCTCGCCAAAACGCCGTGGCTGGGGCTGTACCAAAAGAGTCGAGAAAGGTTTGAAGGTCAGTTTTTATTAGGGATGCCGCGAACCACCCTAGGTTCGAATTCGAAAGGTTTCGATATTTTCGAACCGAACTGATGTTCGAATTCGAAAGGTTTTGATATTTTTGACCGTACGGAGGTTCGAATTCGAAAACTTCGCAACTTTCCAAAATCGTGGGGTTTCCAAATCGAAAAGTTCGAAGCTTTCACGGTTTCTAAAAGTTCGGGTTCGATTATTTCGAGTATTCTTTTACTTGAGGTTCGATAAATTCGAAGATTTTGAACTTCCCTAATTTAAAATTCGAGAGATTCGAATGTTTCGAACTTCTTTGGATCCAAAATTCGAAAAATCGAACGTTTCGAATTATTAAAGACATAAGGTTCGATCAATTCGAAGATTTCGAATTTCTTTCTACATAAAGTTCGAAAAGTTCAAAGGTTTCGATTCTCTTTTAAGGCTAAATTTGAAAAAAAAAACAAAAAAAAAAACTTCGAAGGTTTCCAATTTCTTTGAAGTCCAAGTGCGCAAAGTTTGAAGTCCGGTTTTCATGTTCCGCCCCAGTTTCAGTTTCGAATAACGTTTTCACGCCTCACTGGTTTTCACGAAATCAGGTTTAGAAAAGTTCGGGTGTGATATTCAGATTGCGCGAAGTTGGTCACGCAATTAAATGAGACGAGGAGTGTCCCGGATGTGCTGGAGTATTTGCCAGTGCAGTGTGACGTGTGACAATAGATCAGTAATTGTGACCGCCAGCCCGGGGTGGTCATTAACGTGCATCATGAAGTAGTGATCCTACGAACGCACTGTTTAACGATACTCCTCCAGTTCGAAACGGCCAGGGGCAGGCAGGTGGTTGAGACTCAGAAAAACCTTGAAGTGATCTGGCAAACTGCCTTCCTACCCCCTTGCACGCTGGTAATAATTCGATCTAACGCCGCCCGAGTGACGCTGGCAAATAGTAAGTTTAGTTTGTACATGATGCAAAATCTTGAGACTGGGAATGAAATTTTGAAGAAAAAGTGTAAGAAGGCAGAAAGAAGGGGACAGGACAACGCCTCAAACTCAGCTTTGGTCTGGTCGCGTTCAGTGGGAAATGCTACTGCTAGGAGCCGGACCGTGGTGCCAGTGTCTTGTCTCACGCTTCCAATAATGAATTTGATGAATGGTTAAGATTTATATGTTAAAATATGAGAACCAAAGCGAGGAATCGGCGCAGCATTCTCGAGCCATTTAAATATGATACGGCGCTCGTCATTACTGTCTGTGTAAAAATGGCGTAATATTATTATTTACGCCGCATATATTATGTTGTCGCGTAGCCAGACGTAATTGGTTCTTCGGCAATTTGAGCAAAGTTCAAATACCTTGATGCATTCCTCTTCAAGTTTGCTTGGAGAAAGGTGCGCTGTCGTTTTGGTTGTGAAGACGTGGCTAGCTTTTCCATCTCTTAGTTTTTGAAGGAATTCACCTAAAAACAAAAAAAAAAAAGAAACCTGTTTTTACTTCAATGAAACACTAACTACGTCGCCGTAAGGTGGGAATAGCGTCACAGAGCAGCGATCCTAGACGCAATAAAAATCGATGCAATATCAGACGCGAAAAGTAATGATAATTGAAATAGTTTCATTAGGCGTGGTGGTCGTTAGAACAATGATGTGACATCTTGGCTGGTATCAACGTTCCTAGATCGACTAGGTTGTGGAATTACCGCGTAGGGTTGGTACCCCCTCTGCCAATCAAGCCCGCCACCCGTCGCTTAAATCGCCATCAATAGGCTGCGTTTAAAAACTGTTTATCCCAGAGCACGATGAAGCGCCACCTATAGACAACGGCTTCTAAACCTGTGTATTCCAGAGAGTACACGTACTTACCATAGCAGACGTCCCCAAAACGGTGGCGGGTCGAGTGACGGGAGGTAAAACTTGGGTGGAGAAGGGGCGGGGGCTATCTGCTCGCGGATGTAAAGTCTACGGGCAGTTTCGTAACTGAGTGAATCTAGCAATGTTGACAGGCACTTACCTTTGTCAGACGCTGGATCAGATGGAATGACAATGCCCCCGGCAAGCACTATGGCGTACATGGCGATGAAGCTTTCCACCGAATCGCCCAAATGTGCGAGCACTTTGTCTCCGGGCTCGACACCGTGACGCTGGAATCCAGCGGCGTATTGCTTTAACTTCTTGAAGAGTTCGAAGCACGTCACCTGATCTTCACTGCATACCTGCACGGGTAAAATATGAACTAAATTCAAATGAACAGTGCGATATGATACAGTAACCATATCTGCGGGTGTGCACGTCCAGCTGGTGATCAGATGATCAGGTGTAAAACCTAAGCACTACTCGGCTCGGGTTATTTCAGCCTATACTTCCCAGTGCACAGTTTATCATTTACATCATCCATTGATGTTTCACGCCACAGTGTCAAAACTACAAGGTATGACAGTAATACTACCAGACACCGCATATAGGCATGGGCCTTTCGTACGTGTAGCACAAACTACAGTTTACAATCCTTGCACCCTTAGAATATCCTGCTATAAATGGCTCCTGAAGAAATCATTAACAAATGCAGAAATTTTGAAAACAAAAGAAAAAATCTTCGTTGAGATTTGACTTTAACGTTTGCATTTCCTATTATATAAGCATTTTGTTCGTTCGTGGGAGACGAGGGTGGAAGACGACGGGGCGGGGGGCACGTGGCAAGCGGTCGGCCGAGAAGACACGAGCTGGAGCCGGACAGAGCGTGCTGCGCGAGGCTGGAGCCGAGCAGGAACGATGGAGCCGGTCTGGCCTATGGCCAACCCCGGAGCGGTCCACCAGCGAGGTTCGGACCAGGACCGGCGGGAACGGCGAGCCCTGGCCATATCGGCCTAGGCTATGACGACCCCGAAGTGGTTCCGCAGCGAGACTATGGCTGTGATAGCCCGGAACAGCTAGCCTACGCAGCGCTGGCGTGGACAGGAGATGCCCGGGTCTAGACACGGACTCCGACTGCGAGCTCTGAACGACGGGCGACAACCAGGGTCGGTGGGCTCGGTGTGCCGGCTCTCGATGACGCTCAACCGGGAAGTACAGTAAGCCCATTCGCTGTCTTCTCGTTGTGTTGTGTCGCTCCTTGGGAGACGAGCGAAGCACAGACTGATCGGGCGGTGATTGATATAAAACGACCCCATGAGTTTTTCTTTTGTTTGCATTGGCAATGTCTCATCAAAGAGGCTGCCTGTGCAATGAGATCCCACATGCAGTAAAGCTTTTTTTTTAAATAATTCTTGATACTTCAAATGTTTGAAACGGATAGTTTCGACCTGTTTTTAATCCCCAGTATATGATTTAAATAAACACAAAAACGTACGGTGGATTTGCATGGCATTAATTTACGTTCTTCAAGACTTTTCCAGCAGATTTTTGTTGCTGTCCTAATTAAAGTAAAATCTGCTCCCCAAGCGCACGAATATGATCAGACAAACTTTAATTATTTTGGGACCACATTTACGTTTTTTGTAATATTCTCGCCAGCTTGTAGAGTGTTCTTAAACCGTTTTCTTTACACCCATATAAAAATCTCCGAGAACTTTTACGCAACAATTTTTTTGTAAAAGATATCACTATCCGTAAGAATATTTTTTCTGGAAGAGCAAAAAATGCTTTGCCATTACACGAACCTCTTCCGCAATGGGAATTTAAAGTGGGGTTTATACCAAATACCGTTTAAAAATCGGCGGACGATCGCATTGTTCGCTCGTTAGAAGAAAATTCGACTGAATGTCCTTCAAAAGTTTTAGGAAGAACGTGTATTAGTTAATATGCTTAGTTTTGGTTTTGAGACTTGCCCTCTTGTAATAAAGCTTATCTTAGCTCACTGATTAGCTTTGGTTTCCTTTTCGCATAATCTTCAATATGTAAACCGGTGCTCAACATGCATGTAAGTTGAGCTTCGGTTTAAATATTAAAATTTATGCGAAAAAGGAACACAAGACAATCAGTAAGCGGAGATAAACTTTGTATACAAAAGGACAAATCCAAAACAGACAAAGCAAATCCCCAATAGCGCGCTGGTGAGCAGTCAGTTGGTTTCATTGGTCCTGCATTATGTTTTCAATGAAGCCCGCGAGCGCTTTGCTGCCAGCGTAAAACGAGAAAAGAGTCGCTGCTACTTACTAAGGCTGTTTTTTTACCGTATTTCTCCAAGCATTCTTTAATGGCCTGGTACACAGAAATTCTCGGTACTGATCCTCCGGCGTACGGCGAATACAGAATGCCATTCTCAGAAGGGGCCTTAAGCGCCATTTCTTCTTCTAGTCTCTTTTTGTTCGTTGACAGGTGAGCACTGGTTTCTAGGTCGGCTCTGTAATGAAACACAGTGCGCTGTAATAGGGTTTTACTGCTAATGTCACCGTGTAACGCCATTCACAGCTTATAAAAATTGCGTAGGAAAGGCCTACTCGCAATATTTTAGTAATTAGCTAAATTATACACGTCAATGTGATGAAAAAATGCACAATGTTACGAATATAAAGATAGACCAACAAGAATAGTTTATCACGTCTTCATCAATGAAACACTGACCCCCCCCCCCCCCCCATGTTTTCTTTTCTGCCAGACGATTTAATATGGTTGCTGGGTTCGAGACTAAACTATTTTTTGTACACTTCGTAAAATGACCATCTTCTGTGACGTGTTTTCTCCAAATGCTCACGTGAGAGTTTCATTCCTTGTGACTTACGTTACACGTCGGTACTTCGAACTGGTAAGCCGACCTTGTTTGTTTTTCATCTCACAATGTTGAACACCAAGACCGAGAACTCCCGGATGCTACTTACCTTGCCTTGTTTACGCGGTGACTGACCTTCCCTGTGTGCGCGGTTGAGTTTCAAGGTAATCTTCCATTCATACAGTTCGCAACTGCTGGCAGCAGTGGCGTACGCCAACTCTCCTGACAAATTAGTGTGTGTGTGTGTGGGGGGGGGGGGGGGTAACACAAGGAAACAGAGAGATAAAACAAAGCTTGGGACAGTATGACTTCGTGAGAAGTGCAGCACGCAAACGAGCTGGTTAGAAAACATCAGGATCGAACACCCTGAGACTAGGAACTTGCTCGGTTCTCGTAGTTTTGACGAAGAATATCTTTGCGGATGCTTGTTGTCGGAAGCGTGTCACGTCTGGTCAAATCTTCGCAACGTCATGTTCTTTTTTTTGCTTGTGTCCCAGAAAAACCGGCGTCGGTGGCGTCCTGATGGGAAAATCCTGATTGGTCGATAGGGTAATGACGTCACAGTTACATGACCTCGCGCAGGAATTTTAAACACCCCACAACGCTCATGTAAAACGTGACGTCACGTGTGGAATAAAAGTGATTAAAAACAGGACATGTAATGCGAATTGAACGTCGCCGCATGTCTCAAATGATTTCATTTCGTAAAATAACTTATTTGCCGTAAAGAGCAAATTGAAGAATTTTAGGCGGGATGCGAACCCACGACCCTTCGGTTGAGAGCCCAGACCATGTCCGCCGCACTTCCGCGTCACTGGCAGGAAGAGCATGATAAGTAAATCAGAAGGCCATGCGAACGAGGCTCGATAACGCTATCGCGTTCCACTCTTAAAGGCGAACATTTGACATTTGACTCGTTGTGGCAATTAGCCCTCTGTATTATATGCCCCCCTGGTTGTCAGGTACACAGACCGCATTAGTGTGCCTTTTACGAATGTTTTAAATAAATCTGGCCGAATTAAAATCAAACACCCTATACAGCCGTATAGCTTTTTTCACCTATCCTCGCCACTTACCTAGGGACCAGGACTGCCAGGTCACAGCTCTCACTGAAATGAAACGGAAAGGGTTATTCACTCCTACAAAAGTGGGCTTTTCACTAACCCGTAAATGATTGCCTGTCACATGCCACCAAGCCAGCATAGTGCCAACGACCTGCAGTAGCAACGGGAGCCGGTGTTAAATCAAAGACAACATGTGCGGGTTTCCAGTTAAATGAACATCGGGTCTTTGACCCGTCGGCGATGGCACGGAAACACGATCAGAACGTTGCGTATGGGGAAGCTTGCCTCCTGATTAATTGGGGCGTATGTTTCAGTTTACTTTCAGACTGGGTTACAGGAAAGTTGAAGACGGACCTCAACGTAAAGAAGTGCGTCCGTGTTTGTTTTACTCGAAGAAAAAATAATAAAATGGACGCACGGGACCAGTTGAAAGGGGAAGTGGTTCCGAATGAATATTTAGGTATCACACTTTCAGCTGATTGCGCGAGGTACGCGCAGATAGACTATGCTGGTGCGAGGGCCGGGCGAGCCATTAGATTTCTGCGCTAAAACATAAAAAAAAAATTGACAGCCATCTTTGACTTTAAAGTTCTATAATGCATGAAACGCAGTATTTAGGAGCGAATTGTTTCATCTGTTTGGTAGAAATTAAAGAGTCGTTCCAAAAGTAAATACCTTATATTTTTACGATTTTTTGGGCAACTGAATAGACCTTTCCGGAAAATCTTACGAGACCTTGCAATGGGTAATTGTGGGCCTGTTTGGCTGCACGCTTGTGCAGGCTCGAACGCTTCGTATATCCTGGTAGCGGCACAATTCATTCTGTCTTATATTCGCCTCGAGATCGAACAGTGTCGCCACCGCGCGGCCGAAATTGGAAACGCGCGAAAGCGGGGATACCGCCGTGCGTCGTCTGCTACGAACGCACGCTCAGAAGCGTGGATCTCGACGACGCAAGCCCGTTTCCGGCTGAGCTTGACATTCCTTATTAAATGCTTTGTTTTTGTTGCCGTTTCTTCTTACTAAAGGTTGTGTTGTATCGTTTCCCATGCGTAGAAATTCAGCAAAGCGATTATTATTACGTCGGAAACTTCCATAATCTTAGTGTGTTGGCTTGTATACAATCGCTGGTCCCAAGTATTTTTGTTATCTCACACACACCGTGGCTTTCATAAAGCATTGAATTTTGAATGGGTTTCTGGTTTGATTAGAAAATTAATCCGACTGATCGCTATCCTTTAATAGACTAATCAATCAATAAATCCGTATGCTGATTTTTCGCCGGTCATATTGCGTCAAATACGTTAAAACTATTTTTTTACTCGTTTTACTCTGTCATAAATGGCATATCGCATTCCCATTCTAAATATGAACACGGGAAGCCTTTTAAAATGAAGTATTTTTTAAAGTTATTATTTAAACAGTATAATCACCCTCGGTGAAATGACAAGCACGCTGAAGTGGTTTACCGTGCAAGCCTGAGCCACAAAAGAAATAAAGACGTCAAAAATATTAAAGCAGGCATTTTTTACTCCTTGTTGACTTTCTCCAGCTCAAGAATCCAATTAACCGGCAAAAAAATTGCAATTGAAGCATCACTTGAATAATCTGAACGTTACTCGATCAACTGCCCAGTCCCGATATACGTTAGGTGAGGGCGGAGGGTGATCGGAAGGTCTCGTGAAGGGCCCTCATCAGTAAAAAAGTACCACTGCGGCCGATGCTGTTTGTGTCGTGGTGCGCGTCGTTTGTTGGGGTTGCACAGTCTGCTGTGGTTGAATACAAAATTATTTATCCAGAAATTTGTAGTATTAGCCTCTTGACATCCGCGGCCCTCACCAAGAAAATTGAAGCGGGTGAACCCACACTACCGAGAAAAGCATTTAATAACAGGAACATTGCTGCGTTACTCGGTTACACTCGTTTATTACAGTCACAGCACATCGTCATCATCATCATCATCATTTATTATTCCTTGAAGGCCCAGGGGGCATTACACAAGGGAGTGAACACTTAAAAAACAAACAAGTAACAAAACAATTTATCTACAAAAACACGCTGTGATCTAGTTATGGGTTAGAAAAAATAAGCTAATGGCTGCAGAAAATTTCTTAGTATCAGATAAGGTAACAATTACGTCAGGCAGTGAGTTCCAGTCGTCAATGGCCAATGGTAGAGTAGACATTTGGTGAGTGACGGTTGACGATGAAATCGGACGGAGTTTACAAGAATGGTCGAGACGAGGGAAAATGCGGTAAGGAGGTGATAACAAACTTTGTCTGAGATGACTGTTGTAATAAAAGATCCGATGAAGAAGAGAAAGACGAGACACCCTGCGGCGGTGAGAAAGAGTGTCAAGGTTAGCTGATTGGCGAAGTCCTGATATGCTTGCGTATGGAGAATAGTCGGAATAAATAAAACGGAGGGCCCTGCTTTGAACGGATTCCAGGTTGTTAGTTAGGTATGCCTGCCACGGTGACCATATGGAAGAAGCGAATTCTAGTTTAGTTCTGACCAAGGTAGTATAAGCTAGTTGTTTTACGGGGGATGTAGCTTGTCTGAGGTTACGGCGAAGAAATCCGAGAGTGCGGTTAGCATCGGCGATGACAGCTGTTATATGAGTGGTCCATGACAGGTCAGATGTCAGATGAATTCCTAGATATTTATACGATGAACAAGCAGTTACTGGGATGCCAGAAAAGTGGTAAGAGGAGGATAGAACATGTGAACTGCGGGAAAAAGATAGCGATTTACATTTATTATAGTTTAAAGCCATTTGCCATTTATGACACCACTGAATTATAAGTTGGAGATCGTTTTGCAAGGTTAGCTGATCGTGGCGTGAATGAATGGGTCTATATATGACACAGTCATCGGCGAACAAACGTACTTCAGAAGTGATGCAATGATGGAGATCATTAATGTAGATTAAAAAAAGAAGGGGGCCAAGAACGCTTCCCTGAGGGACGCCAGACGTTACTGCGCTTGTGGTAGATTTTATATTGTTAATAGAAGTGTACTGTGTGCGATTAGTAAGGAATTCAGAAATCCAATTGACTACTGAGGGGTGAAGATTAATATTTCTTAGTTTCATTAAAAGACGTTGATGAGGGACCCTGTCAAATGCTTTGGAGAAGTCAATAAAGATGGCGTCAGTTTGAACATTGGAATCGAAATTTGAGTAAACGTCAGTTAGAAATGCTGTTAGCTGAGTTTCGCATGAGTAGGACTTGCGAAATCCGTGCTGTTGCTTAAAAAGGAGGTTATGAGAGTCTAGGAAATTTATTATGTTAGAATAGAGAATGTGCTCCAAGAGTTGGCATGAAACGCTGGTGATCGAGATGGGACGATAGTTGCTGATTAGTTGGCGATCGCCTGTTTTATGAACGGGTATGACGTTAGCAACTTTCCAGTCTGATGGTACTTCAGAGAGTTTAAGAGATTGAGAGAATATGTTGCAGAGGAAAGTGGAAGAAATGTGTTTAGTGTTTATTAATACCTTAGAGTTAATT